TGAATTATCCCGTGTTATAGAAAACTGTGCGTCCCGTATTGAACTGATACAGGACGGCTTTTGTCCCATAATTTCAGAGTCACCTTAAATGCATCACTCACTGCATGTCACGACACACACACACACACACAGTAATCACAGTTTAAGAGTCTTAACTTTCGGCCAATCAGTGTCAAAGGGGCGTAGGCTCGATCACAGACGTTGTTTTAATGTTGACAATCGCCAGCGTGGGCCGCTCCCGCAGCATCATCACGGCAGAAGTTTGGTAAATTAGTGTCATATTCCCAGATTCTGACTTCCGCGGTCAATAACTCATGAAAGCTACTTTGTTAAACTAAAGTAATTGTACTAAAATGATCATCTCTACGTTGATTTTTCAAATCCATTGCGCTGTTTTAATGCAGAGAAATCCTCTGAATCCAATGCACTGCAAGCGCCGAGAAAAGCACTTGGGGACCGTCAACAAAGACCAGCTTTGTAAACAAACAATAGCTTTTACTGAAGCCACAAACCTGCAGTACCTGCACAAAACTCAGACAATATACATAATGACCATGTCTAACTGCTACAGACTTTGATTTCAACATTTGTGAGTTTTTTTAATGAATACTTATGTTTTTCTTTTTTTATTTGTTTTTACAGAAATTGGTCTTTACTGTAACATAAATAATGTATGTTACAGTATTTTTCTTTTATTACTAATAAGATTGCATTAAGTCCTTAACCAGCCAAAGAGTTCCACCTATTTATTCAATTTCATTTTTGACTAAGGATTTTTTTTTTAAATATGTTTTCACTAAACTACAATCTAAAAACTGTGATTATGAAATTCCATGATTACTGTGTAGACTGAAATTAGGACTAAAAAGGGCTCAACCCAATCCACCCAAATGGTGTCCCTTATTTTTTTGTTCTCAAGTTGGCGACCCTAGGTGGGACCCAGGACTCTCTGGAGGGACTATGTCTCCCAGCTGGCCTGGGAACGCCTTGGGGTCACTCCGGACGAGCTGGAGGAAGTGTGTGAGAGGGAAGTCTGGAAGTCTCTGCTTAGACTGCTGCCCCCGCGACCCTGCAACGGATGAAGCGGAAGAAGATGGATGGATCTGCCCCTGTTCAGGCGTGAAGGGAACCCCATCGAAACAAATGCCTATAATAATAATAATAATGCATCAGTTTTATACAGCGCTTTTTTGGACACTCAAAGACACTTCACATGTCATTATTCTTTCACTCCAAACACAGTGGTGATAAACTACTACTGTAGCCACAGCTGCCCTGGGGCACACTGACAGAAGCAAGGCAACCAGTCTGTGCCATCGGCCCCTCCCACCACCACCAACCATTCACACACACACCAGACTCATTCTAATGTGGGGGAAGTGTCTTGCCTAAGGACACAACCACAGCAGACAGTGGGAGTCGATGGTGAAGTTCGGGCTCGAACCCACGACCCTCTGGCTCAAAGGCCAATTCTCTACAAACTGAGCTACTGTCGCCCACAACATAAGGACATTAGCTCCAGCTAGCTTCAAATGTTCTTCTTTCTTCCATATCTTTGGTGATTCTCTTCTGCAGAGCTCTGTTTGAAAAACTTAAACAAACTGAAGCAACAACATGTAATGGAAAAATAAAAGCTACAAACACAATAATTGTTCATGAATAAAAATGGAAGATGTTGAAATGGGTCTGATGTCAATAAGACAAATGGATCAGCAGTGGGTCCGCAGCAAAGGCAGACGAGGAGAAGGTGGATCACAAAATACATAGGTACAAACAAACAAAATAAAAACCTCAAGGACTTCTATATGCTCTGTCTGTATTATTTATTATTGTTACTGTCTTGTTTCTTACCTGTTTACTTGCGTTGTATGTTTTGTATGTGCAGTACATATAACAAGTGTATGTTTGGTGACTGGGTTGTCTAAAATAAGAAAATAAAGTAAATTCTCCTCATGCATGGGAGGTTTGTCAGTGATATCTTTTGCATATTCCCGGCTCCCAGACTTTAGAGAAACCTTGGGCGACTAAACCGAACAATTCGAAAGCTGCAGACTTAGACATTGTGCAAAATCACCTAAAATACAAAGCTAAAAATAATAAAAAGCCCCAAACTTTACTCATTCAAGGTAAAAAAAAAAAAAAAAACTGCAAAGTTCCATGGCTCCGGGTCAGAACCAAGTGGGTCCTCTACGTTTTCCGACGAAACCCAACTGCTGCTTTTCCTTCTTTCTTCCCGATTGTTCATAGTTGATGGCGAGATTCCGAAGTCCCTTTTCTGCAATTTTTTAATGGCCTCGTCTCCCGGAGAATCCCAGCCGCTCCATTCCGTTTGCCTCGGCGTTTTCAAAAAGCCCGTTTGATGTGTATCTACAAGGCGGCGGCGGCGGCATCATTATGGGCGTAATTTCAAGTGGAGTATTATTTTTCAAGGAACCTCGCGGAAACTGGCAATCCACAGATGAGATAGAGTCCGAACAAAACGCAGACGTGAGAAAAAAGGGGGTTTGAAGTGTCGCAGAGAATTACATTATCGCAGAAACGGAGAGACATAAGTGTTTTCATCTGCGGCGTCCACGGAAACTCCAAAGACGTGTGATTATTTCAGCAAGAGCCGCATTGTATTCTGCAAAATCTGTCTTTTTTTTCATGTTGAAACAGTGCTACGGGTTTGTTCTTTGCCTCATCCACGCTGGTGTTGCCGGAGGTCTCCCATCACAGTACTACCCAGGCCCTACCCTGCTTAGCTTCAGAGGTCTGACGGGATCTGGCTTCAGGCAAAGGGCAAAAGTGAGTGTGCAGTGCAACTATAACGGAAGTCCTCACATCCTTTCAGCGTATTTAAAAATCTTTTTATCATTGATCATCAAATTTCTCCTCAGTCTCAGATGATGTGGACATTAAAGCTGAGGTACCCAACTTTCAAAGCACAAAAAATACGTACCATGCCATAAAAAATCCATATGTAGTAGTGAGTATTTCAGCAAGAGCCGCATTGTATTTTGCAAAAAACTGTCTCATCCAGGCTGGTGTTCCTGGAGGTCTCCCATCTCAGCACCACCCAGGCCCTACCCTGCTTAGCTTCAGGCAGGCGTCGAAGCAGGAACGTCCACACAGGCTCCTGTCAAAGTCTCTGTTCTGTGACTGAAGGATTCGAACCACAGGGCCTTCATCCCCACCGCTGTCAGACTGTACAATAAGTCACTTTAAGTCACTGATGAGCTGCACTGGGACTGAAGCTGCTGTTGCTACTGTGGCCTTTGAGCCTGAAGGTTGTGGGTTTGAGTCCACCGATAGACCTTCACCAACGATTCCTTCTGATGTCTGCTGTGGTTGTGTCCTTAGGCAAGACACTTCCCCCACAGTAGAATGAGTCTGGTGTGTGTGTGAATGGTTGGTGGTGGTGGGAGGGGCCAATGGCACAGACTGGCTGCCTCGCATCTGTCAGTGTGCCCCAGGGCAGCTGTGGCTACAGTAGTAGTTTATCACCACCTTGTTTGGAGAGAACAAAGAACTATATAAAACCACTTTTTAATGGTTCACTTCATGGTCAGGGCTCCACTCAGAACCTGTTGATGGTCCTCCACTCAGAGCCTGTTGATGGTCCTCCACTCAGAGTCTGTTGATGGTCCTCCACTCAGAACCTGTCGATGGTCCTCCACTCAGAGCCTGTTGATGGTCCTCCACTCAGAACCTGTCGATGGTCCTCCACTCAGAGCCTGTTGATGGTCCTCCACTCAGAACCTGTTGATGGTCCTCCACTCAGAACCTGTTGATGGTCCTCCACTCAGAACCTGTTGATGGTCCTCCACTCAGAACCTGTTGATGGTCCCCCGCACTCGTTATAAAACCAGAGGAGACAGAGGAGTGTCTCCTGGTCTTTAGAATGAGCTTCCTCAGTCTCTGCGTGTGTTAAGTCTGTTGATGGTTTTAAGTCCCAACTTAAAACCTATTTGTTTGGACAGGGTTTCTCTCCTCACTGTACAGCCAGACAGGGTTTCTCTCCTCACTGTACAGCCAGACAGGGTTTCTCTCCTCACTGTACATACAGGGTTTCTATCCTCATGTACAGACAGGGTTTCTCTCCTCACTGTACATACAGGGTTTCTCTCCTCACTGTACATACAGGGTTTCTCTCCTCACTGTACATACAGGGTTTCTCTCCTCACTGTACATACAGGGTTTCTCTCCTCACTGTACATACAGGGTTTCTCTTCTCACTGCACAGACAGGCAGGGTTTTTCTCCTCACTGTACATACAGGGTTTCTCTCCTCACTGTACATACAGGGTTTCTATCCTCATGTACAGACAGGGTTTCTCTCCTCACTGTACATACAAGGTTTCTCTCCTCACTGTACATACAGGGTTTCTCTTCTCACTGCACAGACAGGCAGGGGTTTTCTCCTCACTGTACATACAGGGTTTCTCTCCTCACTGTACATACAGGGTTTCTATCCTCATGTACAGACAGGGTTTCTCTCCTCACTGTACATACAGGGTTTCTCTCCTCACTGTACAGACAGGGTTTCTCTCCTCATGTACATACAGGGTTTCTCTCCTCACTGTACATACAGGGTTTCTATCCTCATGTACAGACAGGGTTTCTCTCCTCACTGTACATACAGGGTTTCTCTCCTCACTGTACATACAGGGTTTCTCTTCTCACTGCACAGACAGGCAGGGTTTTTCTCCTCACTGTACATACAGGGTTTCTCTCCTCACTGTACATACAGGGTTTCTATCCTCATGTACAGACAGGGTTTCTCTCCTCACTGTACATACAGGGTTTCTCTCCTCACTGTACATACAGGGTTTCTCTTCTCACTGCACAGACAGGCAGGGTTTTTCTCCTCACTGTACATACAGGGTTTCTCTCCTCACTGTACATACAGGGTTTCTCTTCTCACTGCACAGACAGGCAGGGTTTTTCTCCTCACTGTACAGACAGACAGGGTTTCTCTCCTCACTGTACAGACAGGGTTTCTCTCCTCACTGTACAAACATGGTTTCTCTCCTCACAGCACAGACAGGGTTTCTCTCCTCACTGTACAGACAGGGTTTCTCTCCTCAGTGTACAGACAGGGTTTCTCTCCTCACTGTACAAACATGGTTTCTCTCCTCATTGTACAGACAGGGTTTCTCTCCTCACTTTACAGACAGGGTTTCTCTCCTCACGGTACATATAGACAGGGTTTCTCTCCTCAGTGTACAGACAGACAGGGTTTCTCTCCTCAGTGTACAGACAGACAGGGTTTTTCTCCTCAGTGTACAGACAGACAGGGTTTCTCTCCTCACTGTACAGACAGACAGGGTTTCTCTCCTCAGTGTACAGACAGACAGGGTTTCTCTCCTCAGTGTACAGACAGACAGGGTTTCTCTCCTCACTCTACAGATAGACAGGGTTTCTCTCCTCACTGTACAGACAGACAGGGTTTCTCTACTCAGTGTACAGACAGACAGGGTTTCTCTCTTCACTGTACAGACAGGGTTTCTCTCCTCACTGTACAAACATGGTTTCTCTCCTCATTGTACAGACAGGGTTTCTCTCCTCACTTTACAGACAGGGTTTCTCTCCTCACGGTACATATAGACAGGGTTTCTCTCCTCAGTGTACAGACAGACAGGGTTTCTCTCCTCAGTGTACAGACAGACAGGGTTTTTCTCCTCAGTGTACAGACAGACAGGGTTTCTCTCCTCACTGTACAGACAGACAGGGTTTCTCTCCTCAGTGTACAGACAGACAGGGTTTCTCTCCTCAGTGTACAGACAGACAGGGTTTCTCTCCTCACTCTACAGATAGACAGGGTTTCTCTCCTCACTGTACAGACAGACAGGGTTTCTCTACTCAGTGTACAGACAGACAGGGTTTTTCTCCTCACTGTACATACAGGGTTTCTCTCCTCACTGTACATACAGGGTTTCTATCCTCATGTACAGACAGGGTTTCTCTCCTCAGTGTACAGACAGGGTTTCTCTCCTCAGTGTACAGACAGGGTTAAAAAAACACGGACTAAAAAGCGAAAACAGAGGCTCTCCCGTCACTGCGGCCGGCGTGCCTCTCACTCTCCAACTCCCCCCCATCTCCTTTTGTTCGCAAGGTGTGTGTCGCCAAAATAGGGTCTGCTTAAACGTAACCGTAAAGCAGGACTTGTAAACTTAGGTTGTAAGTATTGTAAACATAAAAGTATATGGGCTCTATGCACGCACCACTTCCACGTTTTAGCTAAAGCCCCACTTCACTTCCTGTTCGCGGGAAACAGCTCGAGTTTTACTGTAGTTTAGTGGTTTACACGAGTTTCCCAAATAATGCTCAAACGGGAATTAAACTGTGAGGATATTGGCATTTTTGGGACACAACAGTGCTCTTTGATTGTGCTGTCATTGTGTTTTTATAAAGTTTACAAATCTCTCTGAGTGGCCACAGTCAAAGCTCTACCTCAGAGAGAAAGCACAGCCACACTTTTGGGTCAGTCTCAGCTGAATGTATCAATCTAATTACTAAAAAACGTCACTAAAACTCACCTAAATGCCGTAGGATAGCACAGGCAGGAAGTGAAAGGGCTGTGCTTTGTTAACAGGAAATGACGTCACGCCTCCCCGTGCTTGCTTGCAATTGACGTCACTTCCGCCTCATTACTTATGCGTAAAACGAACTGGAGGGCAACCGAGCTGGTTGTATACTGGAGAAGCGTCTTTAGTCATTTGAAAATGCCTTGTGTGTGCGTTGTTTTTGGTTGTTTTAACCGATCGAATCGTGAAACCTCAAAAGGATACTTTAGGGTTCCTCGTGACGAAAGTAAAAAAGGGCCTCGCGTAAAGGACTTTACAAAAAGACGGCGGGAGAAGTGGCTTGCTAACATTTCTTTGACTACGAAGGGAGCTGAGTCAAAGAATGCCAGAGTTTGTGGCGATCACTTTGTTAAAGGTTAGTAAATCACATTGGCCTGCATTCAGATATTTTCAATGTTATGAACAGTGATTTGACGATATATTGAAAGTATTTTACGCGTTATAAACTACACGTAGCTGCCTGTTGTTTTCTCATCCAAGATGGTGGTTGCTGTTGCTAGTAGCCGTCAAAACAGCACGATTGTAATATGTTTTCACGTTGTTCAACAGGACGTCCAAGCAATCTATATGATGAGAGTGACATTGACTGGGCTCCTACAAGGAATCTTGGCCACGGGAAAGTGAAACAGCCGACTGCAGCGAACGTAGGGCGAGATGAGCGGACTCACTCTCGTGACGAAAAGAGGAAACGCTCAGAATGTGCCGAGGCCTTGGTAGAGTTCCACAAACTCATGAGATTTGACACATCAGAAATTCACAGTCCAGATATTCCTGAGGATGGAGAGACCAATGCAGCGCTCGACGTTTGTCCCAGTGTTGCATGCCAGACAGATTTGACCGGTGACGATATTGTAAGCATGGAAGAGGAGTTAAAGAAATTGAACTGTGAACTTTATGAACTACGATCAAAGGCACTGGACTCATCTATCAGTAAAGAGTCATTTGAGAAAAGTAATGACAAGACCAAGTTTTACACAGGACTGCCTAACTTTCTTGTTCTTATGCAGGTGCTCTCTCTCTGTGAACCTTACATAAGCACAACTGCATTGTCTTCCCTGGACAAGTTCAGGCAGCTGATGTTGGTTCTAATGAGGTTAAGACTGAATCTACCCCTTAAAGACCTTGCATACAGATTTGAAATATCTGAAGCTACGGCTTGCAGGATTTTTCGTAAAGTACTTTCTGTTTTAAATAGGAGACTTAAATTTTTAATCGAATGGCCAGACAGAGAAGCACTGAGAGCTACTATGCCCATGGACTTTAGACAGGCTTTTGGATCAAAGGTGGCTGTCATCATAGACTGTTTTGAGGTATTTATCGAAAGGCCTTCAAATTTACTAGCAAGAGCTCAGACATGGTCAAATTATAAACACCATAATACAGTCAAATTTCTGATTGGGATTACACCGCAAGGACAGGTCTCATTTACAGTGCCTTGCGAAAGTATTCGGCCCCCTTGAACCTTTCAACATTTTGCCACATTTCAGTCTTCAAACATAAAGATATAAAAATGTCATTTTTTTGTCATGAATCAACAACAAGTGGGACACAATTGTGAAGTGGAACGAAATTTATTGGATAATTTAAACTTTTAAAAAAAATAAAAAACTGAAAAGTGGGGCGTGCAATATTATTCGGCCCCTTTACTTTCAGTGCAGCAAACTCAGTCCAGAAGTTCAGTGAGGATCTTTGAATGATCCAATGTTGTCCTAAATGACTGATGATGATAAATAGAATGCACCTGTGTGTAATCAAGTCTCCGTATAAATGCACCTGCTCTTTGATAGTCTCAGGGTTCTGTTTAAAGCGCAGAGAGAACCATGAAGACAAAGGAACACACCAGGCAGGTCCGAGATACTGCTGTGGAGAAGTTTAAAGCCGGATTTGGATACAAAAAGATTTCCCAAGCTTTAAACATCTCAAGGAGCACTGTGCAAGCAATTATATTGAAATGGAAGGAGTATCAGACCACTGCAAATCTACCAAGACCCGGCCGTCCCTCCAAACTTTCATCTCAAACAAGGAGAAGACTGATCAGAGATGCAGCCAAGAGGCCCATGATCGCTCTGGATGAACTGCAGATAACTACAGCTGAGGTGGGAGAGTCTGTCCATAGGACAACAATCAGTCGTGCACTGCACAAAACTGGCCTTTATGGAAGAGTGGCCATTTCTCAAAGATATCCATAAAAAGTCTCTTAAAGTTTGCCACAAGCCACCTGGGAGACATACCAAACATGTGGAAGAAGGTGCTCTGGTCAGATTAAACCAAAATCAAACTTTTTGGCCACAATGCAAAACGATATGTTTGGCGTAAAAGCAACACAGCTCATCACCCTGAACACACCATCCCCACCTCAGCTGTAGTTATCTGCAGTTCATCCAGAGTGATCATGGGCCTCTTGGCTGCATCTCTGATCAGTCTTCTCCTTGTTTGAGATGAAAGTTGAGGGACGAAAGTACCAGATATTGCAAAGTCGGGCAATGATGTTAGACCACATGACAGTTGAGGGAGATGGTGTTGCAGTGATTGATAAAATAGGGGTTGTTTGTTGTGCACTGACAAATTTATCTGAGAGTGTAGTGCCAAGTGAATGAAAAATATTCCTTATCATAAATGATCTAATAAACACCTGGGCCATTCATAGCATTTTTGAATGTAAGTATAAATATGAATATATGACAGGTTAAAATGTAAATTGTAAATACGATGCCATAAAACTACACTTATGTGGGAATGCAAATCAATTCCAGTATCCCATAATTTTGGGTTTGTGCCATTAATAGGAGGCCTTTACTACATCATTACTGGTATTGGAAGAAAAGTCCCAACAAATCCAGACACGTCTCTTTTGTTTATTACCCAACTTTAATGTTGCAATAGATTATTCTTGTACATAAATATTATGTTAATGTTTCAAATCTGTGCAACCTTTAAACTGTACATCTGTGCAAAATGATGCAACAAGGAAGAACAAACTTGTAAAATGTAACTTCAGCAAATAAAAAGCGAGTTTCAAAAGCTGTTTTGCATCTTTTACTGTGGCATCAACTATATCTGGGGTATTACCAAAGTTGCTATCCTCAAAGCCTGTTTATACCTTCTAGAGGGGATCTGTTTAGTTATAGCAATGGTCCTCTGACTTGCCTTGTGAACCTTTTGCCCAGAATTTCTGGGAGTAGGCACTTACGAAAAAAAAGCTCAGCCCTAGGAACTACATTGCCCCAAAAAGCCAAATCTGGAACAATCCTTTCCACAACCAAATCCTTCGGGTTCCATACAATGAAGTCACAATAGTCGACATCTACAATAAACAGCTGGGCCTGGACTTGATAATGGTAGGCATGTGTTCGATCGAGCATCACGGTGTCTCCTTCTCTCCTCAAACAAAATCCCGTCTGCCCTGCCCAGTCCGAAAGGTTTTCCTTGTCTTGAAAACAATGTGGACACTGAAACACAAAGAGAGAAAACCATGTACTAAGACCATTGCATTTGTAGATTCATAACCACTAGGTGGTGGTCTAATCACTGCAGAGACTACTTTGAAATTGTATTTAGTTAAACATACTACATACTTGTTATAAAAAATTTAAAATATATATATATATATATTCCGCCACTTTGTACATTCGGGGTACAGTATTCAGAATACTTTCATAACATAACATTTATGAATATATGCAGTGTATGATGAATAAAAATATGTATGTGCACTATACTATGCGGTGTACTAACTATATGCCAAAGAAGATGAGATAATTTATTGATCTCACAACAGAGGAATTCACATGTTTCATTCAGCATTCAATAAGGTCACTCGGTGTGCCTAATACACAGTTAAATAGAAAAACATATAGGTATGTAGTAAGGGTAAAATTCTTAAGGGGCGGCATTATAACAATAATAAAATATAAATAAATAAAAAATGCAGGTTGCCAATAAGTGATGCTGGTACAGGGAACGGCATAGAGCTAATTACATAACTTTTCCTCAGTCAAAATGAAGCCTATTATAGGACTGAGTAATGCATGTATTCCTGTGTTTTTTGAAAAGTAACTGTATCCAAGTACCCTCAAATGACAGTAATTGTACCTAAACATAGTGACTTGAAATTAGTATTCTAAATATAAGTATTCAGTTACTACCCAACATGGTCTATAATGAGTGCGTCATACACTGTACCTTAATTTCGCAAACTCCAGTCCCGTGACATTCACAATTCAATTTGGAGAGACGAGAAACAGGAAGTTGAGTATTTTATGAAAGGAGGTTTGGCGCCCTAGGTCCCGGTGCGGCCTTCAGATCGTAAAGGCTCCTGCGATGAGCGCGCACAATCCCCCGGGACCTAGGCACTGGTGGCGGCATTTGGCAGCGGGAAGAAAATTGAAGGCAGATTGGAGGCAGGGTGAAGAGGAGGAGGAGGGGAGGCGGTGGTTGCAAGGCTTCAGGAGGCCGGTAGTGGGAGTTGCTCCGTTTTTATGCGGCTGCGAGTCGGTACAGATGATTGGAAGGGGGTGTCTGCTGAGTGATAGGCTGGGGATGAGAGCCGGCCTGGAGGGGTAAATTTGGTTAACGTCTACCAAATTGAACTTTCGCTGGCTGCATTTCAATTTGGAGAGACGAGAAACAGGAAGTTGAGTATTTTATGAAAGGAAGTTTGGCGCCCTAGGTCCCGGTGCGGCCTTCGGATCGTAAAGGCTCCTGCAATGAGCGCGCACAATCCCCAAAAAGGCTGCGTGTTGATGGAGTTTTTCGAAGCCTGGTTTGGAGGGGACAGACGTCGTGACTACTCTATTCTGTGACCGCTATCGCTAAGCTGTGACCGCTATCGCTATGCTGTGACCGCTATCGCTATGCTGTGACCGCTATCGCTATATGCTGTGACCGCTATCGCTATATGCTGTGACCGCTATCGCTATATGCTGTGACCGCTATCGCTATGCTGTGACCGCCAGCGCAATGCTGCTAACCATTTTTTGCTATATGCTGTGACCGCTATTGCTATATGCTGTGACCGCTATCGCTATATGCTGTGACCGCTATCGCTATATGCTGTGACCGCTATCTACTGTGATCAATACTTGCGGATACTCGGCTGCTGGCGGCGCCTATCCGGAAGGAGTGAGCTGCGTAGAGATGGGGAGACAGGTTACAAAGCAGCAGTACGGACTTTAGTTGGGCTCTGAACCCGTTGGATGACATTGGGAGGTGATCGGGGGTGAAAAATCGTGTAGGGCAGAGGAGATGCTCCGGTGGAAGTAGCGGCCACGGCCCGGCAACCCGATGGTCCTGGAAGAATCCCCCAAAACCCACGGAAGGGGCACGTCCGTGTAGAAGCGGAGACCTGTAGGGGCAGAGACATATCGGAGAGGGCCATTGATGTTGCAGGCGCCCTTACGCTTAGAATCTTGGGTTGGAGAGTAGATAATCAGGATAGTAGGATGGTCGGGAAGCCGCGTCTCGGACCGCATGAAGGTTGAGCGAGCAGTAGTGGACGCTTATGCAGAGAAGCCATAGAAGGCGAGCGGGAAGATGCTGCGAGGAGGGCAGACATGTACTTGGAAGATGAGCCAGAGTTCAGTGCCGCTCAGAGCCGCTGCCGGATGGGCAGCACGATGGGGGAGCCTGCGATCAGAAGAGTGAAGAATACAGGTATGGATGCCTTTGATTAGGAGTCCGATTGACGGCTCAGCGCAGCTACTCGGCCGGCTGCATCTGATAGAAGATGAGGTAGAGAGATGAAGCATGACCGCCGAAGCGACCCTGGGAGCATAGGTACGAGACCAGCGCGGCCCGGCATACTCAGCCGGGCAGCATCCATTAGAAACAGGATAAGCTTCTGAGAGAGTGGGTTGCAGCAGTAGCGGTAGCAGCAGCGGCAGCAGCAGTACCTCAGATAATAACAGCGATAACCTGTATCAAGCCGCGGCAGCAGCAGCAGTAGCAGCATCCTTAGAGATTACAGTAATAATCCTGTATCAAGCCACAGCAGTAGAATGTTGTCGTAGCTGATCAGTGTTTCAG